ATTCATAATGTTTGGGTGATTCCGTGTCTCATTTTTCATTCTTCTAGCCTTCTAACACCTGTCCAACCTATTCTCTTTAATAAATCCTTTCTCCTTGAAATCCCTAGCAGGTTTCTGTTCTCCTAAACAAACGCTAAGGATGTGCCTGAATTCCCATCTGGTCTTTGGCATACGTCTCAGGTTTCTCCTGGGCATGCTCGTGTCCAACCTGTGAGGACTCTGTATGCCTGTTGGCTGCCTGGGTTGCTCCTGGGGGCACCTAAAATATCCCCTTGCTGCTGCATCCCCCTGGGGTGCGGGAATTCCTGCTGCTTTGTTGCCTGCTTGCACCCACATCGTCCTGGTACCTCTGCGCCATGTTGAAGAGAAACTCTTTGGGAGAAAGCCTGCGGGGCTAAGACCCATCTGCCTACACACACACACCACATAGACAGCTCTGCTGTTTCTGCACTCTGCTAGGAGTTCTTCCTCCCTGGCCTTTCCTCTGGGATGGGGACATAGTTCCCTCTGCCCCCAACCTCACCCCCATGGTCCATTCTTTGAGAAATCAATCATAGCTGAGCTTCCTTACTTTTTGTGTCCTTCTTTCCCCAACGTAGGGACTATTTTCTGGTCTCCAGTGTGTGCATGTGTGTGTGTGTGTGTGTAGGAAAGAAAAAGCTCCTGACTGAGATGCTTTTAAACCTCAATTCCTCCTTAGGGCCTAAGATTTTAAAACTGCAAACTTATACAAAAGTTCAACTCTTTTGTTACCTGCATTCCATCAGGTCACATTCCTGCCTTGAGGCAGTACAGGCAAAATGTTAGCTGCCCAAAGATGGGGGAGGAAGGTAGGAATAACCAGAAATACAAGGTGCATCTGTCAGTTTTCAAAACAGCATCCTGCCCCAGATATTTTTAATTCACTCTTTTCCTGATCACTGTTCCTTGTCCCTGATAGTAATCCCCACCCCTCTAGTCTTTCCCCCTCCTCCCCAATTTCCTGGATGGTGCTCCAGTTTGTGTTGGGGCAACATGTGCCCATTTTCACTATGACACTTACCATATTCTAATGGCTGGACTCTTCACAGGAGACTGTGAGAAGCTTGCAAAAAAAAAAAAAAAGGTTCTACTCTGTATTTACAGCCTCTAGGACAGAGCCTGGCATATAGAAAGGGTCCAATAAACTGGGGATAAACTGATTTCTTGATTTTAAAAATTGTTTGTCCAAACTAAGTATTAGAGACAATAGCTAACATTCACATAGCACTAACTATGTCCCTATTTGCTCTTAGCAGATGGGATGCATTAACTCTTTGGTTCTGACAGTAAATATGAGAGTAGGGATCTATTATTGTCCTCACTTTACAGATGGGGAAATGGGCGTACAGAGAGGTTCGGCACTTTGCCCAAGGTCACGCAGTAGCGAGTGGAGAAAGCCATGATTTGAACCAGGTGATTTGGCTTCAGAGTCTATGCTCTTAGTCACTAGGCCAGGCCATGCTTATTGACTTGGCTTTTATAAGGACACGGCATGCTCCTTGTGTAAAGGATTCTGATACATTTTTTAAATTGCGCTGCTCTAAAATGCCTCCAACGAGGCATAAAAGGAAGAACATATAGGGAAATGGAATTATATTATTTTACTTATCATTAACGAGGATAATTTCCTGATACATTTACCTTAAAAGCACCAGGTAACAGAAGGTCAAATTCTTATCACTGTCACAGTAGGGTCAGGATGCTCATAGGTGTGCTAAAGGGTCATGTTCTGTCCCAGACATTAAAGAGAATATACCCTCAAAGAAGGAAAAGGAAAAAGGAACTGCAAAGCCAGAAAGAATTATCCCTATTTTAAAAGCATCTGAAAAGAAGGGAGCAGGAGAATAGACTAGGAATCTTGCCAAGGACTCTGATCTTTCCAGAGGAGATAAATAGAGAGTAATTCAGTTTCATTTATTTTTCTAGAACCACTAAACTTAAGTCAAATGGTAACTCTAATGAAATAGCCATGGAGATGGCATTTAAATTGGTTACTGAAACAGCCTTAGACATTTATTTTCATGGGAATTTGGCTTAATCTTTCACAAGTTTAAATATAAAAATTGTACATTTATTAATTGTAGTTGAGTATGAAATTTGGACAGTTTTTCTGGGCAAGTAATAGTTAACCTGAAAAACTTTTCCATTGCTTTATTATTTCTTATAACACTGAAAATCAAACAAATTTTTATGAGTTGCCTTCCTTTACTATAAATTATGGTATTGATTATAACTTCACTTTTGTTAAAATTCGGATACCTACCTAGTGTTCTTTATTGTTCTATACTGAGTATATCTACTTGACACTAATGTGATATAGTGAAAATGTTATCTTATTCAAATAAAAAGAGCTATTTATAAATTACTATGGAAAAAGCAAGCCAGATTGAAACACTGAGTATTGGGGAAAAAAAAAAAAGTAGTAGGTCCTTTGGCCCATTTTGGACAAAGAACACACACACGTTCATTTACTCATTTATTTAAAAAGTGTTGAGTACCTATTATATACAAGGCAAAAGTTGGTATGTTAACAATGTCTGTTAGAATATGATAATAAATGACTCTAAACATGACCAGTCCATCAACTCATTTATGGCCTAATGGCTGGTTAAGTTAAACAATGGGTGCTGTCCCTTTAAGGCTCTTAAGACACCCAGAATCTTGGTAAATAATATGCACTGTAGTTATTTATAGCTATACTTTTGTTTCGAAGGCTAATAGATAATAACACCCCATTGAGGTGTTAAGAACCCCAGCTAGTCACAACTATGGGTGGAGAAAGTGGTACTATAAGCCAGATCTAATTTTTCATCTGATTATTGGTGAACATTTGACATGGTATATAACTACATTAAATATCTAGCAGATATGCATATCAAAATGCCATATTAAATACATATGTAATTGTTAATAAATAATAAAAGGAATAAAAGAAAGCTAATGTGGAAATTTCATTAAGGAAATATTAGTAGCCCATATTATCTGTATAGAGCCTTCCTACTATTTATTAAACTGAAATATTCATCATTTTTGTTTCATGTGTATATTTTACAACATGGGAAATTTCATGTAAAGTGGAATCATTTACTTTGTGATGAAATTTGGAACTGCAGCAGAATCCCTGCTTTATTCTATTTTATTTCAAAAACTTTTTAATCCATGAATAATGGTAAAATTTAAAAAATGGAACTATATAAACACATGAAATCACAATTCATTACTTTTACATTTATTTTAAGCTCTCCTATGGTATAACTATAAAATCCCTTTATCATAGAATTCCTTAGTAGTGTCTTCTCTTAATTGAATTTAGTTTAGAAAATTTAGTGTTTCATTGATTCTGGTTCTTTTCTGTACAAGATTGAAGATAAAGATCAAATAATTTTAAGAATTATTGTTAGGTACAAATATTTTGTTTGCTCTCTCCATGAAACATCTTGAGCAGTTTCCTCTCAATTAAAAGTAATACTAATATTTTCCATGGGATTATAATATGGCAGAGACTTTTTGAAAGTTATTGAAATGCATTAGTAAGAGGACAGTATTTTCATGCTAAACTTGTATTAGGAGTCCAGATATTATTAAAATAATTTTTTTCATAGACGATGACCTATATCTTTATTTGCCTAGAAGTCTGAAAATTGTTAACAATAGAAAGGTCAGTACAATGTGGTACCAATCAGGTTTCTTGACACATTCAGGTTTAAATGGACCAAACTTTCATTCAATTAGCCCCGGGCTTTTGCAGCCAGGAACCTCTTGTTTTCAGTGTCTTAACTAAAGGACAAGGAAGGTATAAGAACAAGCTATAAAAGAAGGAAGGATCTTAAAAGCAGAAGTCTTCTCTGATCATCCTGGTTTTGTTTTCTTTATTGAACACAGACCCCAATGCTTCTGTGCATCTAAAGGTTTAGAACACAGCCATGAGGCATGTTGAAGAAGCATAAAGGTAGATAAAGAACGGCTCTTATTGTAACCACACAATCATTGGCCACTAGCGCTTCAAGGAGCCTCCACGAGTCCCCTGGGCTCCCCTCCTGTCTCTGAGGGGCAAGGGTTCCTGGAAACATCACTGTTCCTATTCCCGTGCTTTTCCAGGCAGAACAAGAGCACTGCTTTCCTTCGGGAGCCCGAGAGTGGGAAAGCTACCCTTTCTTGTGTCCATCCTGCCCCAAGCCACTAAGTGCAAGTCTATTTCCTTGAACTGTTAGGTTGGGGACGTGAAGAAAATGAATAGAAGAGTGCATCTCTTAGCTCTTCCATATTATGCTGTCTCTTCTTAGTTATGGGTTGGGGAAGGTCCTAGGGTGGGGTGGGAATGCTCATACATAAAGAGGGCAGAGTTCTCTGGAATTTTTAAATACCACCAAGGCACTGGTAGTTAAGTGGGCTAGGGGTGACCAAAATTTTAGGATTTCTGTCAATTCATAGGATAAAGATTCGTGACTGCCCTTTTCAGTTCCCAAAGCATTTATTGATGGATTGATTGCCAGACTGGTCTATTTAATGGAAAGAGGCACTCTTCTGTTACCAGGGGATTAAGTGAAGAAACACTGGAGCCATAAGCACTGGTGGCAGATTCCAGTTGGTCATGCTTTCTAATCCCTAACTACATAGTTGGATAAGAAAGTGCATCAGTTAGACGTGAAAAAGCATGTGCTGCCCCTCCAGAGTCCAGAAGTGCTTAAAAACTGTGATGTATAGAATCCGGAACAATAAGTTACGTGCACAAAAAGAGTTTATCATAACATAAAACTAAAAAGTGACAATTTCATCACACGGTTACACTGCTGTTTTCCTTTTTTTTTCTTTTTTTGGGGGAAGTTTTGTCCTTTTTGTTTCATTTTTCATTTCCATTCTTGTTTTTTATGGTGGGTTGGGGGAGGGTAGAGATGTAGTCCACTGAAGATTAATCACCCTCAATGATATATATATTAGAAAAAATATCAGCAGCAAGACTCTCTAGAAATAGATTCTGTTTGATGTAGCTAGTCTGTCTTTTCTGTTTTGCCCTCTTTCACGGCAGCCTCTGAAGTTTTCCGCAGGGGGGCTTTCTCCGAGTTGGCATGTCCTTGGCCAGAATCTGCCGCTCCGCCATTTTTGTGGGTAGTGTGCTTTTCCAAGTAGTTCAGCATTTCACTGAGGACTGTTTGGAAAGTGCTTAGGGCTGCACATATTGCTGGAGTCCCAAAGCCATGAGTGATCAAACTGGAAATGAGAAGTGGTAGGGAAAAAGAGATGAACAACTTACAGTATGATACAGAACAAGCATTTGATCCAGAACATTCAATGAAACAGGCCTTTACTGTGTTCCTAAGTGGTGTCAAGCATTAGAAAAGATAGAACACAAGTCAACGTATCGCTTTTGACCATAAGAAACTCAGGATGCATTTAGAAGATTTGTCATTGATAGACTTGATATACACTAATGATCAGCAAGCCTAAGTAATTAACACATGATTTGGCTCTGATTCGCTCTCTCATTAAAAAAGCCCCCAAATTACAACTTTCTGTATGTGGGGATCATCTCATTTTTAAGAATGGCGTATATGCTGGTATGAGAACAGATCGCACAAGAAGTAAAGGCTGACTAAGTAGGCTTGATGGCTAGCTGTTCCTCCAACTTCGTTCTTCTCTTCTTCGTAGTAACAAAGTTTTATCTGGGTACACGGTCACATAGCTGGAGACTACATTTTTAAGCTTTCCTTGCAGTTACATTTGGACATGGGACAAACTTCCCACAATAGAACATGAGGGGAAGTGTTGTATGTGATCCCCACCTGCTTAAAAGGAAATTGAGTGCCCTTTATTTTTCTCTCAAAATAGTTAAGCAGCTCTGCAGATGAAGATAATCACCTTGGTGGAGGGGGAGGATAGAACAAGACTGAAGAAACCTACTCACCTTCAGTGTCCTCAGTGAGAGAAAAATAAAATTCTATCTTATGTAAGCCACTCTCTGTTTGGGTTTTAATGGCTAACTAATTAACTAATAATCAGAAATAATGAGAAAATGTAGGGAGTGTCGTTGGCAACTTCAGCACAGATAAACCTTCCAGTCATGACAAATACCATCTCTAGCTGAGCAAATACGTAATTGTAGATGGACTCTTGTGAACAGAACCGCCCCACCCCCCAGCTTGTTCATTTGGTCAATTGTTTCTGAAGTGAAACTCTGCCAGGTTGCTCCCCATAATTAATACCTTGTAATAATATAAAAAGATATGCTTGACATATATTATGCATATGTTATAATGTATACAACATAGTATATATGTTATACATTCAATAAACAGAGCTATTAACTGCTCACAAGTCCTAGTATCAATGTTATGACATTTGCAGTTTTTAATCATCCTCCATAATATGTTAACTAGCTTGTTACCCTTCGTAAGGTATGTGATCTTTAGGAGCAAAAATAAGGAGATTTTAAAACAATGCAAATGAAGGATTTACGGTCCAAGGTAGCCTGTTGATATGCCTGAGTGGTGATAATAGGATCTATCACATGGAATTGCTTATATTAGTCCATAAAAAGGGCTCAGGATGATGCCAGACCTATAGTAAGTGTTCAATAAATGGTAGATATTGTTGGCTATGGGATATTCATGGTAGGAGTAAAATTTTCTGCATGTCTCACATTATACTCCACAGGTTGCTAGCATCTTTCATCTGAACATTTTACAAAGCCTGCTCTGTGCCTAGGTCATAATCAACATATATTACAAAGGAAAGTCTTCAGTCTTCAGTTATTTAGAAAATAAGAATGGTTAGTGCTTAGACAACTATGCTCGCCAAAATTTGAAGTATAAAACATCATCAAAGTTCAAGCATCTGCATATCTTTGCTACAGTATCTTGCATTGCTGAGCCGGAAAACTGACCTCAGCTCCATTTCTCAATGAGATACCTAGAAGGGAATCCATATGCTTTAAGATCTATCAGGGAATCTGGACAACAAATGGAATTGATTGGCGTGGTGGAAGAATTAATCATGGCTGCATCCACAAAGACAACTGAGTGAAGCCATTCATCAATGTCGAAATGCTTGGCTCTGGTTACAAACTGCCCTTCTTGCTCATGCTTTATTCCTGTTTTGAGCTCCTTGTACCCACTGGATGAATTTTATTTTCCTCTATAGTGCCATGTTCTCTTGGTGGGGACCACCCTCTTTATCTATGGCAGAGTATGCAGAATTTAGTTTCACTAGGTTAAATATTAAAGTTAATAAGCCAATATTTGAATTTTGAACATATGCCAGGCCCTGTTCTACGTGCTTCATTCTGCATCACCTTCTATAATCCTGGAAACAACACTAAAAATTAGGTATTATTTCCATTTTTACAGATGAAGACACTCATGTGCAGAGGTAAGTAATTTGTCTGAGAAATCTAATATTCTGTATTGCCTCTGTGCTTATGTTCTCAGGATGTGGGCGTGTTTTATTTATTTATTTATTTATTTTTAGGAAAGTCACATTCTGTTGGCAGTTTTAGCTTAGTTTCTCAAATTTTGTTCTGTAGGCAGACTTGTAGGCCCGGAAGGTGAGAATTCTTCTTACTCTTCTAAAGATCGGGGTTTTGAAAAATCAAGTACAAAATGAGTAGGCCTATAGAAATGCTTTAATTCTCCATGTGGAGAAGAGGTGTCCCCATAATGAAAGATTCTTAAGCTGGTCTCCTTTCTTGGCTGATGGCCTTGCTTACTTCTATACAATGCACTATCAGCAGGATGCCCTGTCACCTCTGCCCTGCACTGAGAACCAGGCATGCCAAGTCTTCACACCGGCTCTGACTTCAGGCACTTTGTGATCTGGAAGAAGTTATGTAGCTTGGTAAGATGACAGTGGTCTGACTAGGACATCTGCAAGTTCTTTCCAACCCTAACCTTCAATCCACAGGTGCTACTGCTCTTTTTTAAACCCAGGACATGGAGAGAAGGTTATGGATATTGGAAGACCACTGGGCTGAACAGAGAAGTCTAAAATTGATTGTGGAATCTTTAACATGAGAAAAGTAACTTTATGTTGTATACCTGAAACTTAATATAACATTATATGTTAATTACACTTAAATAAAAATAAACAAAACTTAAAAAAAAGTAAAGTAACTGCTTGAAATGTTATCTTTCAACATGGGAAACATCACGTAAATTGTTAGTTTTCTTCATTTAACATCACCTGCACATCAAAAAACATACATGGCACACTGCATAGGATGATAATAAGTACAAAAGATAGCTTCTGTTCTAGCAGTTTTCAGTGAGGTTTATTAATCTAAGTAATTAAAGTAATTTAATATTGTATTAGAATAGCACAGAAAAAAAGTGTGAAATCACAGGATGATTAAAAGGAATTTCTAGAAATATCATGCTATTCTGTTGGCCCCAACCACTCCAGAAAAATAGGTGTATATCTCATTCATAGCGACATACAAAAAGGTGAAAAGGAATAATGTAGAATCTATAGAAAAATAAAAGAAAAAACAGAAATAATAAGGCTGACTTTCAGCCCTAGACAGAAAATAAACTGAGGTCATCTGTTAGTCAAATCTCCAAAATCTTTGATAACAGAGATCAATTTTTGCCTTTAGAAAACATTATTTTTCAGCCACAGACTTAACATTGACATTATACTTGGCATTTGCATATATTTTCATCAGATTAACAGGAGAGGGATTTCCCAGGCAAATATTACCTGGGTCAAATAGTAGCCATGAACGGTTTAAAGTAGGTAGTCAAAATTTAGAAGTTCTTCTAAATTCAAATTCATCTAAAAGTGTATCCTCAGGAATGAGACAAGTTAAAGAGACTACTAGCATTGTGCTCAATGTGTCCTCTTCATGCCACATTTTCAAAATCGTTCCTGAAGTTGGCAGCCAGTATGAATGCTGTTATCAGATTTCCTATCATATTTGCATTTCTCAGTTCTCCTTCCTCCCCCCTTTACAATCATGTGTTCTATTTCTTTATTTTTGAAAAGCTTATCTCAGGCTCCTCTCTTCTCTATCCCCAAACCTGTGATGGTCATTCCTATTTGGGCACCTTCGTTTGTCCTCCCTTTTCTTCTCAGCTGATCTAAAGTCCACTGACCCATCAAGTCTCCTTGGATGACATTGAAAAAAACGTGTTCATTTCCTGGTCCCTTAAGACACTGAAAAAGATTTGCTCCTGCCAAAGGATAGAAACTTGCCAAAATGATAAGAGAACTTAAATAGACTTTTTAGGAGAAAGGAGTAACATTCCCCCCTACCTCCACCCCCTACCACCACCAAATTGTAAAACTAGAGCCTGGAAAGACAATGGGAAGACAAAGACAGGGGAGGGTAAGATCTCGGTCACCAAAAGGAGGAGGACTGGAAGTCATATGCTTGGCCTCACAGCCCAGTGATAACCAAAGTACGCTAGATCTTAATAGAGTGGCAAATAAGATGCTGTATGTGTCTCTAAAAGTTTGCGGTTTGAGCTCTTACTATAAATTGGTAATCTAAAGTTATAGTCCCATCTTAAAAATACACAAGAGTTGGGGCGCCTGGGTGGCTCAGTCGTTAAGCGTCTGCCTTCGGCTCAGGTCATGATCCCAGGGTCCTGGGATCGAGTCCCACATCGGGCTCCCTCCTCGGCGGGAAGCCTGCTCTCCCTCTCCCACTCCCGCTGCTTGTGTTCCTGCTCTCGCTATCTCTGTCTCTGTCAAATCAATAAATAAAAAAATATTTAAAAAAAAAATACACAAGAGTTGTTAAAATAAAACAAACCACAAAGGAACAGCAACTCCAAAAACAAACGGGGCTGAGATGGGTCACTACTATCATCAACCTATACTCTTCCTGACACTGTCAGTTGCCAGCACTCAGTTACTGAGGCAGGAGCCTCAGGGGAGAGTGGTGGTAGGGGGCGGGGTACCTCAGTGTCTGGAATGATTGGCTTACCAAAAGGCTAAAGTTTCCCTGGCTTCATTTGGAAGTCTCTGAAGCCCAGGGTAGTAAGATTCAGTGTAAAGTTAGGTTCCAAGAATGGGAAAGAGGAACGTGGCAGAGAAGGGAGGGGAGGGGAGGGACGATGGTGCGATCTCAGCAGAGGAAAGACTAAATGGTAATTAAGATACTTTGCTTTCTTTTCAAACAGTTTAATGTTTAAAACTGTCAATGATATAATGAATGCAGTTGAGACTTTTTTTTTAAGTATAGGAAACTCCTAATTCAGGATAAAGAAAAC